AAATGTAACTTTATGTAGGTAATGTATTTTGTATTTGTTGATTGTAGAACCTTACATAATAAAAGAGTCTCAAAAGGAAATGAATCCTACAATCATTTTTATATTGTGTTGTTGTTTTATTTCTGTCAAACATATTGTTTATCCGCGAGGCAACTAATAATGCTTTTTAAAGCATTAAAAGGTGATATTGAGCCAAACCCTGTACATAATCCAAAGAGAGGTTTGAGAGTAACACTGAAAAATTCATGATCAAAATTTGAGTAATATGTCTCTTCAAGATATATGAGCTGATGCACTGATCAAACATGCATTGAATGMAAAGATGCATTGAATGTTACTTTCAATGTAACAGAATCAAATGAAGGATTTGCACCAATCATTATTATTAGACCCAACGTGTGTAGAGGATAATTCTAGTGAAATCAATATTGGCCAGAATTTCATTATGTGTCACACAAAGGACCATGCTGCAATCTAGCATTTCAAGTTGAATAGAAAATGAGAATGTTGGTATAGTTATGACTAAAACTAACTGCAATAATGCCATGAGAGGTCTTGAATCGTGTTGTTTTGGTAAATAACCATGATCAATTGCAAGTCTTACAAACATCTGATCTTGTTGTAAGTTTATTAAAAATGTATGCAGCTTCAAAGATGAAATTGGTTGCATAACTACATCTTYTACGTGATGTTTAAAACGGCAATAAGGCAGTGCGGAGTGGTATTAAAGTTTTCTGAAATAGCTGTAAGTACATCCATAATATGGAAATCGCGGTACAGATCTCATATCACGAGCAAAGCCTGCAAGGTCAAGGTACACCGACTCAGCCCAGATCTTATGCAAAATCGGTTTAATGGTTTGCCTCAGACGATGTGCACACTACGACCGCAATGCATTATTTTCTTCTCATTCCTCGCCTCTATGAAAAGCATGGCGGATCATGTCGCAAGAAGGGTGAGTTTCAAACTGAGATTTGTTCGTTATTATTCATATTTAGCTGACAAAAACGCAATAATTCGAAGCGATGTCATTATCAGTACTCTCAAATGTATTCGAATGATAAGATATTTTTAAATTCTATAACTTTTGAATTCGAGTTCATGCCACTACATTTTCAAAGTTTTGTGTGAAATCTGATGACTGCTGTTTACAGAGCTATTTTCTCTTTTGCATTCTTCTTGGAACAAGTTCAAAATTGACATATAGCCTCTAGAAAGGTGTATTTCTAACATATTTTATGGCGTTCGGTAGCGCCCCTCGGAAAGTGCTCATTTTATGTGATTGAAATATGCCGTTTTTAAACAGGTAATCGACTACAATGTAGTATGGCTACGAAAAGACATCTTTAGGCTGTGTTCATAATGTATACCACAGAAGTGGGGCAGGGGAAATCTGGGGGGGAAAGTAATTTTTATAGACATTTTTTGGGGAGATGAAAATTTTTTACTGTATTCAAGAGGGGGGTTGCTAAAAATATTAATTAAAATCTTAATTACAAATGGAAAGCAAGGTATAAATTGTAGAGGTTTCAATTAACGGATTAAATGCCATATTAGTATATAGAGAACATGGTAAAAAACAACAAGTAACTTTTCATTGTCTTTTTTATCATTTTAATCATCATCAGTCATCATCATCATCAGTGTCATCATCGTCATTTGAATTTTCCGTTTCCTTGGAAGACCTTTTTTTTGCGGTGTACATTATGAACGCAGCCTTAGCTGGAAGTTTAAAACTGTCAAAGACTACCCATGGAAGCATGCCAGCGTCCAATAGAACTTTAAGATAATCTTGGAAGAATTCACTTTGAGTTTCCCTGGGAACCAAAGGTTGGATTTACTCTTTGTTGTAGTTTAGCTTATAGTTTATTTACGGCGCGAAGCCAAAGCGCCGTCCTTCAGGCCGGTTCGGCCTAACGTCCTCAACGGCAATTCCCCCACCATAAATATATTAGTTAGTTAGTTAGGCGGATGACTCCGAGATTTGACAATGGCACTCCAAACGACCCTGTCTTCAAATATATAAGAAAGAGTAAATCCAGCCTCTGGTAACAAGGGTATCTTTGAGTCTGCAGGGTTTAATTACCCTGGTCCCGGAGGTTTGATATTTTCTCTCTTCGCTATTGGTTTTGTAATATTTTCGCTCGGCCTTACTGCCTCAAAAAACAAAAACAATAAAAACAATAGCGAAGAGAGAAAATATCAAACCTCTGGGACGAGGGTAGAGTTTAATAAAGTTTAATAAAATACCATCAAATTACGCGCTCAATTATCTTTAGACTTAATGTTAAACCTGACCTATCTCGATTCACTCCTGGTGTTGATCTATACAAGGCTTTATAGAGCCATCCCGAATCATCGATAGCTATGATCTTTCCTTTTAATTAATGTTTAAATATTGTATTGTGAGATGATGGGCGTGGCAGCGATGAAATTTCACCCCTAAGAGAGACCAATCAATAAACTATTTTGTTTTGGTTTCCCGATTTTATGTAATTTTGCACAAGCATCAAACGTTGTTGGCTCGTATTGAGTTTATGACGACGTTATTAAATACAAATATAAGATGACGGGTCGTCGTATACCCTAAAAGGGACCACAAACCTCAGTTGGCGGGAATTCTCGTCATTATCAGCCTAAGCGGGACCATAACACTGATTTCGAACAATAATCAAGCTGCCAATGGCAACATAACTCGAAGATTGATTGTATAGTTTCGAGTTCATAGCGAAAAACCGCTGCTTTATTTGACAACAGATTCTCTTGCTCAAAGACCTGACAAAACATAAAAGAGAGCACGAGAAAATGTCGTTATTACAATAGCCTTGACTAACCCTGTATTCCCATGAGAATTAAGGTATGCGCCTTCTGGGAAAACAGGGTTAGCCTCAACTCGGGGAAAATGTAAATTGCTAGYGCTATTGTACAAATAACATTTTCGCGTGCTTTCTTTTGTGTTTGCCGGTAAGTTCTTTGCGTAATTGAATCTGCTGTCAAATAGAGCAGCGGTTGTTCGCTTGGAATTCGAAAATTGACTATTCGGAACAATGAATCAAGTATATTTTAAGTAAACGATTTACGAATAATTTTTTTTTCGTTAAAATCTTATTATTTTAACTTCGGTTATGGATAAGTTGCTCCTTAAAGCAGACATCCAAGCGGTTCGATTCTCGTGCTTACGGAGGTTAGCGATTAAGAAATTTGGCATCGTAGCTCAGTGGATAAAATGTGTTCTTTGAGTGCAGACGACCCTGGTTCGAATCTCAGGAAATAATCTTTTTTTTTTATTTCTTTTTTTATTCTAGATTATTTTTCTCAGTAATTCTTTTAAGAATGGTTACTGAGGTCGCCATACCAATGAACGTTACGGATCAAGTTTTTTATTCACATGAACTTTGTCGAAAACACTTGCGAAGCAAGCAAGGTTCCTACGTAATAAATTTACAAATACAATTAACTATACTATATAACATGGAAAACGATATTAAAGAGAAGRAAAAATGAAAATACTTACAAACAAACTGTGCGACGTAGTCTACTCGATACTAAGATATGACAACACTGACTAAAATATTCAAAACGAGCGCTAATAAACTGAACGAAATTTGCATCGAACATATGAAACAAAGGAAGTAAACGAACGTTGACCTAGGCTAACGAATACAATGGCGGACATAACAATTTCTTTCTGCAACAGTAATTGATGCATTTTCTCGTTGTTCCAGAGCTTGATGGATTCTCTGAGCTCTCTTTCACCACCAGCGAGATTCGTTCCGTTATCGGAATAGATTCCTTTCACTTGACCTCTTCTTGCTATAAATCTTCTCAATGCCAGAATGAATGTGTCGGTCTGGAGGGATGACGCAACTTCAATGTGCACAGCACGGACGGCGAGGCAAGTGAAGATCACACCATATCTTTTAACTAATGATCTCTTGAGCTTCGCCAGAAAAGGTCCAAAGTAGTCTATGCCAGTATTCGTGAAGGGAGGCTTGTCAGGAGTAATTCTTGCTGCTGGAAGATCAGCCATCTTCTGTGAGTTGGGTTCCTGGTGTCTCTAGCTTTTTGCAATCATAGCACSACGAGAGTAATCTCCTTGTCAAGGCATTGGCATGAACAATCCAGAAGCGTTGGCGGATCGCTGTTAGCACGTATTCCCTTCCAGAGTGGCCAGACACACCACGAAGTGCGCTTCTTTAATGATCAACATGGCAATCCCGCTATTCTTTGGAACAATGGCTGGATGCTTTGAATTATAGGGCAACGAGGACTTCCTTAGACGGCCACCAACACGTATCAGGCCATCCTTTAGAATCGGATCCAGCTTGAGAATCAGACTTGTCTTTCTGGTACTTGTGCCATTTGCGAGATCTGCAGCTTCTTGGGGAAAGGCTTTTCCTTGGATATAACGAACTTCGCCGAGTGTTATAAGCTCGTCCCTTTGTCTTGCATTCTGAACTTGTGACCCCTTTCTTGAGCGAAATCTTTGCTGAAGTCGCAGACATATTGCGATGAATTTCTTTAGGCGAAAAAAGGATGAGAATCTCTTGAAGATCGCTTCCAAAGGGTCTTCTTCCTTTACAACTGTGATGAGGTAGCATTTCTCTTTCTTGACTTCAGGATCTTCATCAAGTGTTGAATAGACATCACTTGGGTGTGAAAGTATCTCGATATTCCTGTGCCTTAAGAATTCCGGCCCCGTTTTCCAGTCTTCASTTGAAAGGAAGTCATCAATGGCCATTCCTCTTGTACAAGAGTCGGCGGGATTGGATTTGGTATCAATGTAATTCCACTGGTCTACTGTCGAACCGCTCTTGATGTAAGTAACCCGATTAGCGACATACGTGTGGAACTTGCGTGATTCRTTCATGATGTACTTTAGTACTGTAGTGCTGCCGGTCCAAAAGTTTGAAGTATGTATAGGTACTTCCAGTTCTGTTCTAAGCGTCTTGTCCAAAGGTATCTGTTTCAACTAGCCATTTGACACCAAGGGCTCTTTCAGCTGGCAATTCGTCATGGGCAATGTCTAATTCTTTAACTTCTTTCGCTTGTTCGCATTCAGGAATCGATTGCAGTACTTGGCGACTTCTTGAGATCCATTTGGTTAACCTGAATCCACCATCTTTCATAAGTCTGCATATATCTTCAACGAACTGAATGGCCTTCTCAGCAGAGGGTAAAGACTTTAGACAATCGTCYACATAGAAGTTCTTGAAAACAGTTGAGATGACTTCATCTTGAAAAAGGGATCTGTTGGAGTTGGCGTTGTGTCTCAACGTGAAATAAGCGCAAGAAGGGGAGGAGACTGCGCCGAAGAGGTGAACATTCATTTGGTATTCATCAGGTTCTTTGTCAAATTGAGCGTCGGTCCACCATAAGAAACGTAAGAGATTACGTTCAGCTTCGGGCACACGTACTTGAAGAAACATCCCTTCGATATATCGGCCATGACGGCAGTACTTTCCTGGCGGAAGCGTAAGAGCACWCCAAGAAGGCTGCTGGTTAAATCTGGACCTTGTAATAGGACATCGTTGAGAGCTACGCCTTKGTATTTGCATGAACAGTCAAAGACAAGTTTTTTTCTTGTGGTAAACGCCATAATGCGGAATATACCATATTTTGCCTTTGACGCCGGCGAGTTGTTCTTCTGGCACCTTTCTTGCATATCCTTTGTCGATCGTATCTTTCATGAAGGTCGTATAGTCCTGTCTAAARYTTGGRTTGYTCAAAAGTTTGTTCTTCAGATATCCACATCTTCTTTCGGTTTGCACGCGATTGTTAGGTAAAGTGACAGATTGGTCCCTGAGTAGACTAACTTCGTAGTGCTGGTCTTCAAGATGGTTGATGGACTTTTCCATATGTTCCATAAACTTGACTTCTTCCTTTGTATACTCCTTGGAAATGCTGTAAGTATCACTCTCTAGGAAGTCCGCACATTCCAAACACTGCATGGAAGCTTGAAAGCTATTCGGACATGATGTACCCTTCGCACTTCTTCCGGTTCAATTGGACCATTGATAACCCATCCGAGCTTTACCCTTGTAGCGTAAGGGCCTCCTGTGGTTTTTGGAATGACCTCTATTGGTCTTAGGGCTTCTGGCACGTCTAGGTCAATCAAAAGATCGACCTTAGATTGAATGAAAGATAGACGCAGTTTTTCTGAAAACTGAGGCCATGCATGGACATCGTCTTGGCAGGGTATCTCGTTATCTGAAATTGAATAGCTGGTGTGGACAGGCCCATGGGAAGGCTGATTGAAGTGTTGTCATCCAAGTCGCTAACTATCAGTCCATTGATCACTTGACTGTTGACGTCAGAACTCTCTCTAATGGTGGTTAACTTGACCTTGGTCTTCTTACTTTGCACTCCGAGAGGTTTTATTAATGATTCAGAACAGAAAATTGCATTGGAACCAGTGTCCAGTAAGGCATATGTCTGTATGCAGTCATCATTGTCTCTCTTCCYTATGTTGACTGGCAGTATAGGGAGAATAGCTGTCGCTTTTCTTGTAACGTCAGCCGATTTCGTGACGGAACATCCAAACGAATGTTGTTGCTTGGTAGCATTCATAGGTAGAGATTGACTGCTGGTACTTTCAGATGATTTTGTGAATGTAGAACTTGCAGTTGGGTTAGTGCTTGAGGAACTTGCAGTCGGACTAGTGCTCGAGGAACTTGCAGTCGGACTCGTGACAGATGAACTTCCAATCGAAACAGCGCGATCGGAAACGTTTGAGTGAAGCAGTGTGTTATGTCGTCTGTTGCACTCGTTGCAAGATTTTTTCTTGAAGCAGGAAATGGCTTGATGACCCTTTCTTAAGCAGGAGAAGAAAAGTCTATTCTTGCTGGCTATGTCCATTCGTTCTTTGTACGTCTGAATTTTGGTACTTGCTGTCGTGGTAGAGACCTCCTTTGCTGTTGTAGCATTATATGATTCCAGAAGCTTCTTTGTTGATCCATTATGGTATTAGGATGAGTATTAGAGAAGAAATCAGGTGGCATGAGGCGTTCTTCGTAGTGGGACTTTGAGCTTTCTAACTCTTCTTTGGCCTTAACAGTCTTTGGCTCTTCATTAACGTTTGGTTGATCGAGCTGTCCTCCAAGCTTCAGGCCTTTTAGCTGTTCTTTATCCTTTGATATGTCGTGCTGTCCTCTGACGTTCAGGCTCCTTTTTCCTTCTTTAGCTTTTGCGCCCTTTCTCTGTTCTTCCTCTTTGACGCTCTTTAAATCTGCTTTAGCTTTTARACTCCTTAGTTCTTCTTCGACCTCTATGCTTTCTCTTTCGAAGTCGAGTTTCAAATTTTCTTCTTTAAGGTGGGCTTCTTTTTCGTGTAGCTCTTTACGACGCTGAATAGATTCCTGTCTGGCTTCCAGTTCAGCAATCCTAGRTTTTGYGGTCGATTTCAAAGACGCTCTTGAAGTCAAACTCGACGAAATGCTTGAAATAGATTCAGTAGGTTGTTTGGCGCCCGGTTCAGGCGTATTTTGTAGCTGCTTTTCCATGGACGAAACCCACTCGGACACCTTTTGACAGAATTCTAAGTAGTTCTTTTTCACTTGGAGGAAGCACATGAACGATTCTGTCCTTGCTTCTCCATCCTGTAATACGTTGTCGTACGCATCATTCGCCTCGCAGAATGTATCAAATATCGTACAGTACTCGCCCATCTTAGAATCTACTAGATCCAGGTTTTCCACGCCATCACGGTTAAGCATAACATATGACAACGAGTCAAATTACAATTATTACACAAAAAAGTAAATTTCAGCACTTTGATAGCTTATCTGAAGATCCAAAGGGCATATTTACAACCATTTGCTTGAAATCTTGTTTTCTACGTAAGTTCTTAAATGGTCAAATTCGGCTGAGACGTTTATCAACAAGAATTTCTTGGTGTGCAAGTTACGTCATCGCCGCCATGTTGGATGAAAATCGACAAAGCATTCCTCATTAGTTTCTCTGGTTTATTCATCCAACATGGCGGCAACAGGTTTGTACTATACTTCTCGGGGGATTCTTGGTCACGTGGTTGCACACCAAGAATTTAGCGTCGAGAAGCTTCATGTAAGCTTACGTTTCCCTGAATCCGTTTCACTGACTCTTTCTAACTGTCGACACACACTCGAAGCGAAAACCGTTTTAAAAACTTCTTTCAATTTGTACATTTTACGCAAAAGAATAGAATCTTATAACATATATTTCGGTCCTCGTAGCCCTTGAGAAGTAGATTTATCGATTATGACACAGGAAACCCATGGTTTGATCTCGTGTCGCATAAAAGCTAGTAAAACAGCCATGACGTAATGTCTAATACGCACATAGTCTAGGGCGATTCCACGTTGTGGACATTACATTCAGAAGCCAATTCTGAATCTTTAAATTCCTCTAAATTCTTTGCTAATTCAATCTAGAAGCTAAAAGTTATATGTTGGATACTTAAATGGAGTTTCTATAATTTGGTACAAAACGTTTTCTTTTTTACTTTTTGTCAACTGAAAAATAAGCTTTGAAACTGTGTTGTGGACATTACATATGAAACTACACATTTTCAATTGCTTCTCTTTTATTGCATTTCCCTGTGACTTGAGAGATGTTTAAAAATAGTCAATATTATGGCTACACTTGTTGGTGATAATCGGCTGTATTTTATACATACTTGAAATATGAGTTAAAAAGATCATAATTTCTGCATATTGCTGTATTTAAGTGTAATAAGGTAATAATGTAATGTCCACAACGTATATGTAATGTCCACAACAGTTTACTGCTGAAATTACTCAAAAAATTAAGGGTATAGAAATGAAACGTTTATACTAAAATAGTTGTACCATCAATCTAACA